TGAACAGCAAGAATTATTTATTCTTTTGTGTACTTGAAGAAACAATATCACAAAAAATTTAGACTTTCCTCTCTTTTTGAAATAGATATTTATGTTTCATCATTATTTGACTTAAGAAACTGCATGAAATCAAGTAAACTGAACAGTAGGAATAGTATGAACACATTAATGCCAAATTATAATCATCAATTTGTTCATCATTGTTTTGACATGAAGCAACAATCATTACATCAATATAAAATTTGTAAACGATTTGTATGTCGATATTAAATACTTATATACAATTGTCAGTACTACGTAGAAATGTGTGATGTTTTATTGTTACATTTAGTTTTCCTTGACTGATTAACATTTAGCAAACTCACAAGATAATGGTACCATTAATCGATTCTACGTTGTTTTCGTAAAACATCAGGTTACTTTATTTTTAATACCGGAATGATTTATACAAATAAAGAGCAACTGTCGTAGTTATATAACTTCAATTTGTTATACTACTCAATGTTTTAAGATAACGAATTGTAATTCTGATATCTGAAGCTTTTGCGTTGTATTAATATTCAAAAATGTTTTTCAGGTTCGAACCGCGTTAATGTCATTATTATATGTATTAACGCGGTTCAAGCCCAAATAACATTTCTGAATATTAATAAGAAATTGTATATTGGTGTAAAAAATACAAACAATTACATGTCATGTCCGTAGACGTGGGCATGGTGAGCCCCGGTTGACCCGGTTTACATTTTTCTTTTTTTTTCTTTTCTTTTCTTTTTTTTCTTATTATCTTATTTTATTACCGTGTGTTGTCAGTAGTATCTCCCGTTGTCAAGCGTCCGCAAAGACGTTAAACTACGGTCCGAACCACTGTGTCATCACCTAAACTTAAGAAGTTACTACTCCGAGTCACGTTTTTGTACCTACCAATTTTGCAAGTGTCGTTTTCACTGTTGTTTTGCATTCATTGTGTTCATATAACTGCTTTTAACGTGTAGTACACGTTAAAACGTGTACTACATGTTTTGTTAGCCTACGAGTAAAATTTAGCTGTTTTACCCTATGATAAAATCTGATTGGTCGTCTTTCTAGTAAGAAGCAATCTAATTGGTCAGTCGT